TTCATGTGCCACCCTTAAAAGAAAAAAAAAAAAAAAGGAAGGTCGTACAGATACTAAAACTATGTATGAGATGATTTCAACATTGATGGAAAGTTCTTTTTGATATTGCGTGGGAAAACAATAATTGCAATCTTAAGAGAGTTCTTGTTTATTGTGATATCAGAAAGATATTATAAATTTTATAGTACATATCATTTTCACCTATAATATCTCTCATTGCTTTAGTTATTCATGTTGGCAAGTCAGTTTATCTTAACAACTTTCATAAAACCAGTGATAAAAATTCAATTTATAGACTTTTATGGTTGTTATATGTGAATAAACACAAGAATGGGAAGGGCACCACAGTGCTCTTTGCTCCCAGTGGCCAAATCTAAAATAAAACATGTTTGAAATATACACACATACACATGCACTCACACACACACTTTTATTTGACAGAGTTTTATAGTTGCATAGCTTGTAGGTAAAATTAATAATATGAGAAAAGTAGGAATTGAACATGGATGTCATATAGTATAGAAAATATATATAACCGAATATATGTTTCCTAGAGCTTTATTTAAAAAGACCAAATGGGTAGCTTAAAACAGCATAAATTTCTTTTCACAATTCTGGAGAATACAAGTTTGAAATCAAGGTGTCATCAGGGCCATGCTTTCCTTGCATGCTCTAGAAAAGAGTCTCTTCCTTGCCCCTACCGAGCTTCTGGTCATAAAGGACCATTCTCAACATCACTTGGCTAGTAGCAGTTATCCTCCAATTTCTGCCTCTGTCTTCATATATTACAGCTGTCTTTCCTGTGTGTGTGTCTGTGTAAAAATTCCTCTCTTCTCATGAAAGCATCAGTCACTGGATTTAAGACCTACCCTAATCCAGTTAAGATGAGGTCATGTGCTTGTTTAAATGAGAGTACATTTATTTCCTTTAGGAAATGGACACACAATAAAGACTGAATCCTTACTTACTATCTTACTCTTCAGACTAGTGTTTCTTTCAGTGAATTACATTTTGCCCAAAGGCACAGAAATATAATTATTATATAATTATATTTTGTTTTCTTGCTTCCATTTTTCCATCCTTCATTCATTTCCTTCCCTCACTAAGCATTTATCAATTAAAAGAAATTATGTGAAAGTGGTGATAAATACAACTTTTGCCTCAACGAAAGTATAGACATGAAAATTAAAGAAATGCTTACAAATGTTAAGATAGAATGTAAGACTTGTGATACAATAGAAAACTAAGTACCATGAGACTGCAGAAAGTGTACCTTAGGTGGTGAGATGGAAATATTCCTGCAGGAAGTGATAACAGCTGAGTTTAAAAAAAAATGGGTAAAGGAATCAGCATCTGGAAAGACATAAACTTGTGAAATCACATTAAACAGTCAATAAACTATTTAGGCATTCTATAGGAGGTGAAATTATTTTGGGAGGTAAAAATTAGGCAGGTGCTGGATTTGGAAAGGCTACATTAATACTGCAAATGTACATTTTTCTTTTACTTGTATTAATCCAACACATTTATTGCGCTTAAATAAACCAAAAAAAAACCCATAATAAATTGTAGGATGATATTTGCTAAAAAGTTGGATGTATTTTCACAAGTGTCTATTTGTTGTCTAGCTGACCTAATATATTGTCTATACAAGTCTAACCAAATCAGCTGTTTTTACATATTTTCATGATCACCTAAAGTCTTTGTTTTTTATTTTTGACTATTCATATTCATTTTAAAAATCCCCAGCTTGTGTGTTTTAAATCAAATTTACATTTATTTTACTTTTTTATTATACTTTAAGTTCTGGGATACATGTCCAGAATGTACAAGTTTGTTACATAGGTATGTATACATGTGCCATGGTGGCTTGCTGAATCTATCAACCTGTTACCTACATTAGGTATTTCCCCTAATATTATCCCTTCCCTTGCCCCTCACAACCCCCAACAGGCTTCAGCGTGTGATATTCCCCTCCCTGTGTCCATGGGTTCTCATTGTTCAACTCCCACTTATGAGTGAGAACATGTGGTGTTTCGTGTTCTGTTCCTGTGTTATTTTGCTGAGAATGAAGGTTTCCAGCTTCATTCATTTCTCTGCAAAGAACATGAACTCATTCTTTTTTATGGCTACATAGTATTCCATGGTGTATATGTGCCACATTTTCTTTATCCAATCTATCATTGATGGACATTTGGTCTTTGCTATTGTGAATAGTGTTGCAATAAACATACATATGCATGTGTCTTTATAGTAGAATGATTTACAATCCTTTGGGTATATACCCAGTAATGGAATTACTGGGTCAAATGCTGTCTCTGGTTCTAGATCATTGAGGACTTGCCATACTCTCTTCCACAATGGTCAAAGTAATTTACACTCCCACCAACAGTGTAAAAGTGTTCCTATTTCTCCATATCCTCTTCAGCACCTGTTGTTTCCTGACGTTTTAATGCTCACCATTCCAACTGGAGTGAGATGGTATCTCATCGAGGTTTTGATTTGCATTTCTCTAATGACCAGTGATGATGAGTTTTTTTTCATATGTTCGTTGGTTGCACAAATGTCTTCTTTTGAGAAGTGTCTGTTCATATACTTTGCCCACTTTTTGATGAGGTTGTTTTTTTCTTGTAAAATTCTTTAAGTCCCTTGTGGATTCTGGTTACTAGGTCTTTGCCAGATATATAGATTGCAAACATTTTCTCTCATTCTTTAGGTTGCCTGTTCACTCTGATGATAGTTTCTTTTGTTGTGAAGGAGCTCCTTAGTTTAATTAGATCCCATTTGTCAATTTTGGCTTTTGTTGCAATTGCTTTTGGTGTTTTAGTCATGAAGTGTTTGCCCAAGCCTATGTCCTGAATGGTATTGCCTAGGTTTTCTCCTAGGTTTGTTTGTTTGTTTATTTATTTATTTATTTATTTATTTTTATTTTATGGTTTTATGTCTTACATTGAAGTCTTTAATCCATCTTGAGTTAATTTTTGTATAAGGTGTAAGAATGGGGTCCAGTTTCAGTTTTCTGCATATGGCTAGCCAGTTTTCCCAACACTATTTATTAAATAGAGAATCCTTTCCCCATTGCTTGTTTTCATCAGGTTTGTCAAAGATCAGATGGTTGTAGATGTATGGTGTTACTTCTGAGGCCTCTGTTCTGTTCCATTGGTCTATATATCTGTTTTGGCATCAGTACCATGCTGTTTGCATTACTGTAGCTTTGTAGTATAGTTAGCTATACAACTTTATCACATGATTCTGTACATATTTCTTCTGAACAAAAACACTTTTTAAAGAACAAAGTTCAGCAATAGTTTAATTTAAGTGAAACTCATTACTTTTACAATGCTTTTTATCACCCAGAAGCAGCAGGTCTTACTACTGAAAACTTAGTGATGAAGTTGGGTGACAAAGCAATGGTTCTATTTTATAATCTGGTATATGATTTTTAAATGTCAAACAATATATGATGCTGTTTCTCCCATAACCAAAATACACCAGACAATGAAAGCAAGTTTTTGTTTATTATTTCTAGAAATGTAACATTTTCCAGTTTAAAAGTGTTGATTAAAAAATAAAAGAAAGAATATTATAGATGTTGACAAAGAACATTTTTATTAAATTGGAAATTGAAACTATAATAATTTGGATACATTGATGCTATTTAACCAGCAAGAAAAGAAGGATGTTTCTATACAGGTCAAAGTAATGGACCATACGACTGAGGTGGCTAATTGATATACTCAAAGTTTGAAGGAGACAAAGAAGAAAGGAAATAACCAGAAGCTAGGTAAGTTTCCTCTTAGTACTCAGAACTTCTATGTATAATAGCAACATTAAAAATAAATAAATAAATAAATAAATATATAAAAATTAAAGTCTAGAAAATTTAGTAATGAAAGTTTGGGTTATTTCCAAAAACAAAAAGCTATTATAATTTAGTATTTTATGTCTTTTTATCTTTTTAGACATTATCTTATAAAATATTACCTCTTTTTCAACTCCATTCTCTACTCTGCTACTCAAGGTGAAAATATGTGTATGTCTCTTTATATGTTATGTCTAATAATTTCCTTATGTGGTTTTCAAATTTTTCCCTTCCTAGACTGCCTTTGAATTATTTATTTTGGTCATTCATCCATATCCAATTTGCTAATTCTTCTATTTTGCTACAAAAATTATTATCTGAAGAGATGACTTCCAGAATGTCAATGTACAGCAAGAAAAGTGTCTTTGAAAGGGATCAGACATCAAACTTTATAGGCAAATACTTTAAAGCATCTATTATATATACGTTCAAATAACTAAGGAAATTTATGCTTTTAAAACTAAAGGAAGGTATAATGAGAATGACACTTGAAATAGAAAATATTAAGAAAAGAGATAAATTACAGGAAACACCAAATACATTCTAAAGGTGAAAAATACATACAATAATTGAAATTTAAAAATGACTGAATAGGCATCACAGTAGATCTGAACTTGCAGAAGAAAGATATAAACTTCGAAGCCAGATCAAATGAGATTATGTAATTAAAAGAACAAAGAAAAATGATGAAGAAAAATGAACAAAAAGTCTTCAAAGTATAAGATACCATTAATACCAATGTATATGTTCAGTGGGAATGTCTGGTGGGAATATCAGAAGTAGAAGAAACAGACAAAAGAGCAGAAATATTTTTTAAATATAAAAGTTGATAAAATTAATTAAATGAAAAACAAAAGGAAACTATACATCCAAGAAGCTCATTAAGCTCCAAGTAGGATAAATACATAAAAAGATATCCACACTCCAAAACATTATTTTTTAAAAGTTGATAGCCAAAAACAACACAATAATCTTGAAAGTGGCAAGAGAAAATTGACCCATATAATGAAACTCCAAGATTAACAGTCACGTCTCATTTTAAGTAATGAAATGTAGAAGGCAGAGGCAGTAGAGTTATTGTGGGAAAATAAAAATAGGTTCTTGTAGCACAACCAGGAAACATTAAGCAGGCAGACACTTTGAAGGGTGAGGGGAATGTAATTTATTGGATGAAAAGGAAACTAGAAAAGAACCCCTCAACAAAGCGAGACAAGTTCCTATTAACAGACCCCCAACTCACAGATTGGATCCCAGGTCACCACACAGGAACAGGAGAGGACAGGTTTCTCCCCCTGCAAACGACATTAACTTCCTGTGGCTCCACCCTGTTCTCCCAGTGTGCAGACCAGTGGGAGATTCTCCAGGGACACTCCCCCTTATCTTCTTCCTGCATCTGTCAGAATGACACATTCAATGCATCAAAGGAAAAAAAGAAAAGTTCTATGAAGTAGTGTCTTACATGCAGCAAAATTGTCTTTCAAAAATGAAGGCCAAAAACTAACAACAAGTACTTATTTATAATTTTAAGTAATTGTTACTAGCTGTTTTATTCATTGTCAATAACAATTAGTTGTTGCTAATATTTCTTTTTAATAACATAAATAATAAGTTCTTCAGACTGAAAGCATGTGATCTCAAACAATAAGTTCACACAGTAAATAAAAACAATCACAAATTTAATTATATAATTATGAAATACATTATTTATGCACATACTCTTTCCATTCTTTTCATAAGTGAAAAGTACTCTTTTAGGAATTATTGCATTAAGGCCCAGGACTGCTCACTTGAGATATGTGGTCTCAGCTTAGATCATCTTGCCCTCTCCTTTTAGCTTCTTAAGCCTACCTTTAAATTGTTCATTAAATGTTTTGACCACACTGTGGCTGGGGTGTGATATGAAACGTGGAGAGTCCATGATTACATCCTCTGCCTTTGCCACAAATATGGAACCATTGTTAGTCACAATCTGTTCAAGGAAGCCAAACAGGAAAACAAATGAGATATTTTAGGGCCTCAATCGTGTAGCTAGGGTTAGTGGAAAGTATAGGTACTAAGTCAAACCAGCAGAAAGTGTCAACTCCAGTCAAGACCCAGCAGAACCCTCTGGATTGGATAAGGGACACAGAATAATCCATCTGCCAAGAATATCTTATGGGCCCATAAGGCAATTGATCACACATGTGCTTGCTGAGTGGAGAGCAATCCAGTCTCTGCATTTAGCTAAAAAGTATGATATTCTCGTTTATTACCTTGCCCTTTCTTAGCACAGGAGACTTTCTGATGATCATCTACATGGGAAAAAAGAAACTTAGAAGCACAACATAATTTTATCCATATGTTTTTTCCCATAAGAGGGCTTATTTTATATGCCAGTCCAAGGCTTGCTAATGGTCCAACCAAACAGCTCAACCTTTAGTCACAGCTACGAGTCAGTAAAAATATTGTATGCTCTTTTACTGCAGTACCCTGGATGGTAATATGACATGAAGCTTGGCCTGTTGTGCTGTGCATGCTTTATTATTCTTGGTAGGGATAGGTTTCTGAGGCTGGATGGTATTTGCATCCCATTCCATCTTGATAAAAGTTAACTGAAAGGAGCCATAAATGATATTCTCACTAGGTGCCTACATTCAGGTTGGTTTACAGGATTTCACATGACCCAAAAGATGGCCTCAACTTCAAAGATTCCTGTCAGAGACTGGGGGCAAAGAAAATAAGAACTGTCCATAGACAATATGTATCAATGATATGTTTGGTAATAACAGCCACAACAATGGAGATTTGTAGGGGCCCAAATGGGCCCACCCGTAGTCTACCCTGGACAAAAATACTGCTAATGGTAATCTCAGGACAAACACTGAAGAACATTAATTTCTTCCTCTCATCTTGATACAAGGAGTTGTGGAAATTATGGTCACCTATGTACTAGTATTCAAAAGGCACAGAAATTCAATTTCTCTCCACCTCTCCATTACATTCCTGGGAAGGTTCTTGTCATAGGACATGTATCTCCCTGTGAGGATGGAAGAACCATACCATAACCCATAGTCTTGCTTATTTTTGAAAATTTACATGTTCAGGTCAGGGAAAGGTTGGTGGGGCTCTCCAATTTCTTTTCAGATTTGCTGGATAGGTGAAGGGCATAACCACTGTATCAGCCATGGTAGCTGTCACTGGAAGCCGTTTCAGGGCCTGATATCTGGAAATGAGTTTTCTGTGGGGGAGGACACAGGAGACGAATAAAGCCGCAGGCCAGGGGTTAGCAGTTATCCCCCAGCCAGGACTCATGGAGGTGGTGTTTTATTTTCAACTAATATTTGGTAAATACATACTTAAAATGTGAAGATAAAAAACAAAGATTACAATGAGTTAACTTTTTTAACCTTAAGAAAGGACAATACGCTTGCAGCAATATATTTTTTTGTTTTATTTCTTTCAGATCCATTTTTTTCCCTTTAGCAAAGAGCAGAGTATACCATCCCTCACTGTGTATTTTGACTTCCCAGGGCACCCATGAAGATTTCCTCCAAATCTGGCCAATGCTGAGATTCTTAAAATAGTCATAAATGCAAGCCATCAGATGTTTATGTTTGAGAGTTGGAAATATTCCCATCTGACTCTCAGTTTCTTATTAAAATTGATCATTATATATATTATTATATATATCAATAATACAATATAACATATATAAATATATTCTTATTAAAATCAATTTTAATAAGAAACAACATTAAGTGGAAATATTTATATTTTATATATATATATATTTTTTTTTTTTTCCCAGGGCATGTGGTGTTTCAGGGGTACCGCTGTCTTGTTGAAATATAGCATAAACAAGTTTTACTTACATATAATAAATTTTGTATCATAAGCAATTTTAGTTATCTTAATAAATTGTTATATTATGCAATTTTAGTTACATTAATAAAAGAAAAACTCAAACTCACATGTAATGTCCAATTAAGTAGGTCATTAATCAAGTAATACTGTGTAATTTTTCTGAAGAAGGAAAACCTAAGGAAAAATACTAGTTTATAAAAATTGAAATGATGTTTATTAACTTTAATGAGCATTTTTATATACCTTGAAAGAGTATTCATATGACTTTTACATAAGCCAATCCAATTTATTTTTTTATTTCATACCTTTAAATATCTTACCCAGTAAAGAGATACAGAAAATAGATCTGGCCAAATCTTAAGAATTAAAAATCTCCTTCTGTAAATATAAATCTCTTTTTACCTAATTTATTTTAATTGTGTGTTATTTATGGTATGGGGAAAAATAATACAGGCCCAACTGACCAGGCTTGGGAAGTAAACCAAAAATGTGATTGTAAAGCTAGATAGGATTGATTGTGTAAAATGGTAGTGAAATTTTGTATTAGTGTGCTAGGGCTGCAACGACAAAATATCAAAGACTGTATGCTTAAAAAACAGAAAGATATTTTCTCTGAATTCTGGGGTCTAGAAGTTCAAAATCAAGGCTTTGGTAGGATTGGTTTCTCCTGAGGACTCTTGCTTTGACTTGAAAATGGCCACCTATTTTCTGTGACATTTTATGGTCACCCTTTAGTGTGTGTGTTTTCTATGTCCTAAGTATCACTTTTTATAAGGACACCAGCCATATCGAATTAGGACCTATACATGTAGCTACATTTTACTTTAATTACCTCATTAATACTTCTACCTCCAAATATAATCACATTCTGAGCTACTGGGGATAAAGACTTCAACATGTAAGTTTTGGAGGGATACAATTTAGCCAAAATGAAATTCTGAATAAAATTTAGAAAGGTATGCTGGTAGTAAACGTAGAAATATATGGACTAATCACTTTAAATATAGTAATTTCCAATAATAAAATAAATATAGAGTTTTGTATGAATTATAATAAAATAGACTAGTTAAAAAGACAAGATACTACTTAATATTAAATATGAAATAAGAATAACTTTAATGCATGCTGTTTTTATGAGCCATGTAATTACTCACGATGTTGGAAAATGCCTAACAAAGTCAAGTCATGAAGAAGAAAAGTTATCTTGAAATGGAAACTTAAGGACTGCAATTTTTTTTTGGACATTTGATACAGAAAAAGTATCTCCATAAACTTCAAAACATTTATTTGTTTTTGATGGCTGCTTTAAATCTATAATCAATAGACTACGAGCTTTGAACAACTAATGAAACATATCCATCCCTGTCATAGCCAATTTGGGCCAAGGCAACAGGGCGGAGATGGAAGTTGCCGGAGTGGCAGGAGTTGATGAGCTCACCTGGGGCCTTCGCAGAGAAGGGAGAGAGCTGTGAATAAGGATCCTGGGAAGTTGATTGACATGGTTTGGCCAGAGATAGGACATGCTATAACAGAAACTTCAGGTCTGGTAATCTGCAAAAAATTAAAAATAAAAATAAAAGAAACGTATGGCTTGCAGTTCCGGGGGCTTGAAAATCCAAACTAAAGGCATTAATAGATTCAGTGTCTGTTGAGGACCTATTTCTCACAGACGGGACCTTCACATGGTAGAAGTGCAAAGTGGCCCCCTTTTATAAGGGAATTAATACTATTCAGGAGATCTTCACTCTCATGATCTAATCGACTTTTAAATGTTCTACCTCTTAATACTATTGTGTGGGGGATAAAGTTTCAAGGTATAAATTTTGAGGGGACACCAACAATTAAGCAATGCCTAAATAGAGCACCCTCTGTTTGTTATTTTAAAGATAATCTCCTCTTAAATAATATATTTTATTGACTAGTTACAGTAAGAATAGAAGAGAGAATAAAAACATTTTATACAACAATTAAGTTTTGATTTGTACATGCTTTAGGTTTTTTTGGAAAAATAATATTTTATACAATAAATAACAAACAAAAAATTCAGTATTGTATATAAGCCATGTCTTAGTCCATTTCTGCTGCTGTAAGAAAATACCAGTGACTGGGTAACAGAAATTAATTGGCTCACAGTTCTGGAGTCTGGAGAGTCAAAAATCAAGAGGTCAGCATCTGCTTAGAGTCTTCGTGATGCATCTTTCCAAAGGCGAAAGAGAAAATCCACTCCCAAAAGCTGTGTTATAAAAGTGTTAAATCACCTCTTAAAGTCCCCCATCATAATAATGTCATAATGGCAACCAAATTGCAACATGTGTTTCTGAGGGAAGACTTGCAAGCGGAAAGATAAAAAATTTTTAGAAAAACTAAAAGTGACAAGGGTTAGAATAGCAATAAATGTTGTTAGACTATAGGTGGAATTTGAATAAAGCATAAGGGATACTCTTAAAAATTTGGGGTGACAGAATTCTCAAATGATCTAAAAGCATAAACCACCTTTGCTTAGCCTCTTGCCCGTTGTGATTCAGGCTGTCCCTTTCGATAACAGACTGACTTGATTGTGACTGCTAAATATAATTGCTCTGCATGCAAAATTTTAAGCAATAAGCAATAACCTCATCTTATATGAAGACCATAGAATAAAAGAAAGAATATTATGAGTTTTGAATTCTTGTACTTACATTTTATTGTTTAGTCCAGTCGTGGACAGCAACTATTATAGTATCCAAATAGTTCATGTATTAACGATGAGACAAGTAATTTGAGTTTTAATTTGAGAGCTCCATTTCCACTGTAGCATATTGAAAGTAGTCACTCATTTTCAAATAGCAGCTGCTGACATCTCAGTAAGAATTTGAAAAATTTTATTTAGAAATCAATCTGCTTACACATAACTTATGTAAGTTGTTTTCCTCATTCTTTATTGCAGAGGATATCTGCATAAAAATGGAATACTTATTTCCTCGGAATTCATCTGTGATAGCAGTTTTGCCACCTAAAATGGTAATTTTCTCTCTGTGGCATCAAAACTGATAGCTTTGGAAAGATCGAGACTTGCAAAAATGCTTTTATTTTTACACAAATAATATATACTTTCTCATTATAAGTTTTCCAAGATATTTTTGGAAGTAATACTGCCATGATAGTGTTATAACATTTCTCAATAATATTAATTTGAAGAAGTTTTACCTTTGTTTCTGCTCAACATTTAATTGTAATAGTTGATTCCCCTTATATTGTACATTATAACAGGTAATTATGCCATAATTTTAGAAATATTACAGAACATTTGTCATTTATCTCTCTTTTGGTCTTCTCATAAACTTCATACCAAAGGTCTTATTTCATTACTGATGAATAGATTAAGGTATTAACATCCATCTACTAATGGAAGTTAAACTTTGACCATCCCAAAGGAAATATTAACATATGCAAGATATTGCTTCTTTGGACATTTTGAAATTAAAGAAATGTAATAAAAAAGACAAATAATGCAAAAAGCTATCGTCCTTTTTTTTCACATTGGTTGCAATTTACTTGATGAAAGAAATTGTATTCATAGTGTGATGCACACTTCTTTTAATTAAATGTAAGTGTAATATGTGTTTTATTTTTTAGAAGGTTTAGGGTATATGCTGTATAAACCATGCTGTTCTCAGATGATGATAGTCAAGTGTTATCCATATTAAATGATAAAAACTACAGTTCAATAAAAATATTCTATTCAATTTATAATAAAATATTTTGTGTAAGTATAAGCTCAACTAAAATTGTGCTAAAAACAATGTAACAATCAGGACTTGTAAATCTTCAATAGCAATGAAATCTAACACAAATGTGGCATATTACTCTTTCATTTTGTGCAACTTGTTAGGTAACTTTTAAGGAAACTATGATTGTGAATCAAAATACTATTTTTAAAGGTGTCTAATAGAGATATTCTCAAAATCCATAAAGTACATGTGTTACATTAATCATTGAAATTCCTACTTAATGATAATTGAAATAGTGGAATTTAATTATAGTGCTTTTTGCATGGAATAACATGAATAATGCTGAGCACCATGAGCTGGATATAATGCAGCAGGTGCTGAGTAACTGTGTGGTGTTACAAGCCCCTTGGGAACAGTGACTGTTACCATAGCTACTCTGTAAGTTGTTAGAATGATGCATTTTTTGATTTGGGTAAAGTTTTGTTAAAATGTTAAATTTGCAGCATTGTTTTTCTGTGGAGTTAGGATTTGTAAACATATATATTTGCAACCTAAATAAACAGAGAAAAACTCTCAAAAAGGAAATGATATTTATTCAGGAATAGGGCATTGCAATGAAAATATGCAAACCATAGAAAACTATGCACATATTTAAGAAGGTAAAGGAAGTCAAAGTTTTTAAAGAAAAAAATGAGGAGGATTTCATTATAATTTTGAGATAATGATCCTTGCCTGAAAAGATCAATAACAAGGATAGCATCAGTCTAAGGTTGTGCTAGAACTTGCTGGGTAGATTATGTTGAAGTATTTTTTGTTTAAGGTTGTAATGGCTTTTGTTTAAGGTTGTGGCTTTTAGAGTCTTTTGTAATAATTCTCATTATCAGGCATTTGTGCGTGAAAACTGTCTCTTCAAAGCCATCTCTGGGTTTATTAATCAGTTTTTTGTTTTTGTTTTTTCTCAACACCAGTGATATGGTTTGGCTCTGTGTCCTTATGCAAATCTCATGTAGAATTATAATCCCCACATCTCAGGGGAGGTGCCTGGTGAGGCTTAATTGGATCATGGGGGCAGATTTCCTTATTGCTGTTCTCACGATAGTGAGCAACTTCTCATGAGATCTGATGGTTTAAAAGTGTATGGCATTTCCCTTCAGTTTCACTCCTTCTCCTGCTCTGCCATCATAAAGACGTCCTTGCTTCCCCTTTGCCTCCTGCCATGATTGTAAGTTTCCTGAGGCCTCTCAGTGATGCTTCTGCTATAGCCTATAGAACTACAAATCAAACCTCTTTTCGTCATAAATTACCCAGTCTCAGGTAGTACTTTATGGCAGTGTGAGAATAAAGTAATACAACTAGTAACTCCCTTTGTTTTCTTCTTTTTATTACTTTAAATTTTCGTGAGTATATAGTAGGTGTAAATATTTTAGGGATATATAAGATATTTTGATACAGGTATGCAATGTGTAATGATCACATTAGGGTAAAAGGGGTATCTATGACCTCAAGCATTTATCCTTATTTATTTATTTATTTATTTGTTTATTTATTTTTTACAAACAATCCAATTATAATTTTCAAGTATTTTAAAATGTACAATAAATTATTGTTGACTGTAGTCACTCTCTTGTGCAATCAAATATTAGATCATATTGTTTCTGACTATAGTTTTGTACTCACTAAAAATCTCTACCCTTTCACCCCTAACCACCCAGGTACATTCTCTGTGTTTTATCATAAAAAGATGTTGAAATTTATCAAATGATATTCAGCAGCAATTGAAATGATCATATGGTGTGTGTAAATGCTCATTCTGTTGATATAATGTATCACATTGATTGATTCACATATATTGAACCATTCTTGCATTTCTGTGATAAATCCCACTTCATAACAATAGGTGATCTTTTTAATATGTTGTTGGATTTGGTTTGCTTGTATTTTGTTGAGAATTTTTGCATCAATGTTCCTCAGGGATGTTGGCATGCACTTTTCTTCTTTTGTTGTATCTTTGTCTGGTTTTGGTATCAGGATAATTCTAGCCTCATAGAATGAGTTTGGAACTATTCCCTCCTCTCCTATTTTTCAGAATAGTTTGAATAGGATTGTTATTAGCTCTTTTTTTAAATGTTTCGTAAACTTCAGCATTAAAGACAGCAGTTCCCAATATTTTCTGTGCTAGGAGGTGTCTATTACCATTTCAATCTCATTTCTTGTCATTTCTCTATTTACATTTTGGATTTCTTCATGATTTAATCTTGGCAGGTTGCATGTGTCTAGGAATTTATCCATTTCTTCTAGGTTCTCCAGTTTCTTTTGTTGTTGTTGTTTGTTTGTTTGTTTTTTGGCAAATAGCTGTTCAGAGTAGCCTCTACTGATCCTTTGAATACTGTGGTATTAATTATAATGCTTACTTTTTTATCTCTGATTTTATTTTTTTGATCTTCATTGCATTTTTTCTTAATTAGTTTGGCTAAAGCTTTGTCTATTTTGTTTATCTTCTTAGAAAAAAAAACTTTGCATTTCACTGATCTTTTGTATTGTTTTCTTCATTTCAATTTCATTTATTTCTGCTCTGATGTTCATATGTTTTCTTCTACTGATTTTGAGGCTGATTTTGCTCCTGTTGTTCTAAGTCTTTAGGAGACATTGTTAAAATATTTATTTGCCTTTTTTTTTTTTTTTTTTTTTTACTTTTTTGGTGTAGCTACTTATTGCTATAAACTTTTCTGTTAGTATTACTTTGGCTGTATCCCACATAATTTGGTATGTTATGTTTTTATTTTCATTTGTTTCAAGGAACTTCTAAATTATTTTCTTAATCTCTACTTTTACCCACTGCTCATTCAGGACCATATTGTTTAATTTCCATATGTTTTTATAGTTTCTAAATTTTCTTTCATTATTGGGTGCTAGGTTTATTCCACTGTGGTCAAGGAAGATACTGGATTTCTTTTTTTATTTGAATTTCTTAAAGTTTTATTTTATGGCCTTACATATGGTCTTTCTTTGAGAATGATCCACATGTAGAGAAAAAAAATGTATATTCTGTAGTTGTTGGGTGAAATGTTGTGTAAATATTTATTTGGTTAATTTATCCTACAGTGCTGATTTAGTTTGATGCTTATTTTGTTGATTTTCTGTCTGGATTATCTGTACCATGCTGAAAGATGGGTGTGGATGTCTCCACCTAGTATTGGGGTCTATACCAATACTATAGTTCTAACAATATTTGCTTTATATATATTTGCTCTCTGTTTGTCTGTTACTGGTTTATAAGAATGCTTGTGATTTTTGCACATTGATTTTGTATCCTGAGACTTTGCTGAAGTTGCTTATCAGCTTAAGGAGATTTTGGGCTGAGACAATGGGGTTTTCTAAATATACAGTCATGTCGTCTGCAAACAGGGACAATTTGACTTCTTATCTCCCTGACTGAATACCCTTTATTTCTTTCTCTTGCCTGATTGCCCTGGACAGAAATTCCAACACTATGTTGAATAGGAGTGATGAGAGAGGGCATCTCTGTCTTGTGCCAGTTTTCAAAGGGAATGCTTCCAGTTTTTGCCTATTCAATAGGATATTGGCTGTGGGTTTGTCATGAATAGCTCTTATTATTTTGAGATGCCTTCCATCAATACCGAATTTATTGAGAGTTTTTAGCATGAAGGGCTGTTGAATTTTGTCAAAGGCCTTTTCTGCATCTATTGAGATAATCTTGTGTTTTTTGTTTTTGGTTCTGTTTATATGCTGGATTACGTTTATCGATTTGCGAATGTTGAACCAGCCTTGCATCCCAGGGATGAAGCCCACTTGATCATGGTGGATCAGCTTTTTGATGTGCTGCTGGATTCGGTTTGCCAGTATTTTATTGAGGATTTTTGCATCAATGTTCATGAGGAATATTGTTCTAAAATTCTCTTTTTGTGTTGTATCTCTGTCAGGCTTTGGTATCAGGATGATGTTGGCCTTGTAAAATGAGTTAGGGAGGATTCCCTTTTTCTCTATTGATTGGAATAGTTTCGGAAGGACTAGTACCAACTCCTCCTTGTACATCTGGTAGAATTCAGATGTGAATCCATCTGTTCCTAGACTTTTTTCATTGGTAGGCTATTAATTGTTGCTTCAATTTCAAAGCCTGCTATTGGTCTATTCAGGGATTCAACTTCTTCCTGGTGAAGTCTTGGGAAAGTGTAAGTGTTCAGGAAATT